CTTAAATTCTATAGTGTAGTTTACTTACTCTCTAGGGATTCGATAACCCCTTATACTACGACTGCTTTGTGTGCACTTGCAGTAGTTTTTATTTGGGTAAAATCTGAGCCCTATCAACAGCACAGGAATGCACGGATTAACAGAGGACTACTCAGTATGAAACAACTATGAATCTAAGAGAGATAGATCACGACCGGTCCTCACCTTAGTCTCGATTCGGAAGCAGAAAACAGAGATGGAAGGAGATCTGGTTATTGCGGGTCCTCGCCGAACGGACCTGAGCATTACGACAGCATGGGTCCGACCGCACAACAAGCAGAAAGGAATATTAGAAAAAGATGGATCTAGATCTAGAAAAAGTAGATCAGGAAATGTAGATCTAAATCAGAAAAAGTTGAACTAGATCTGAAAACAAAAAAAAGGTTTAGATCTAACCATGAAGTCTAAGCTGAGAAATAGCAACAGAGTCGAGAAGACGGCGCGAAGGAGCACGTTCTCGGTGACTACGACGGTTTTCCGGTGGTGGCTCCGGCGACATTTTCGGCGAGGTGCTCAGAAGAAAACTGGGCAGAGCTTTGCCGGGAATTTATGAATGGATTTTTAGCAAAGGGAGCACCTCTATTATAGGGGCATGGAGCTGCAACCCTAGGTCATCTCGGATTGGGGCTTGGGCTGGTGGGCTTGCACTCCAAAATGGGCTTTATTCTCTTCTGGGCATGGGTCTGGGATGTTACAATTCTCCCCCACTATTTGGAAATTCACCCTCGAATTCGAATCAATATCCCGCCGAACACCCACATCCCCAAAGAGCTCTAAAACTCTTGCCCACACAACAGCCTTAGGTTCCCAAAACTTCTTTCCGGATTCTATCCCTTGCCGAACAAACACGAACCTACTTGTCTTCTTCTCTTGAACTTCTGACTCTTGATGATTTAAGATTCTCACCGACTTACTCGTAACAGTCAAGTTTCGGCCCACATCCAATGGCGGCCAGCTAAGATAAGCCCCGGTTCCCATACCACAACCCTCAAAACTTACCCATGAAACCCATCATGAAAGTTTGACAACTTGTGTGGTAAGTCAATCCTATGATCTTATACAGCCCCATGAACCTTGGCCTCGACTTTCTGAATTTTTGGTTCCTCGGATCGCTCTCATCCTAAAATACACATCATCACCCAATGTCAACTTTAAATCCTTCCAGAGAACTTTCATGACGACCGACACTCGGACAACAGTCCATTCCCATAATGACTTTGTAATGGCCTAACTCCATTTTCATAAGATTTCCGCGTAACTTCATGCTTTTCAGCACCATGGTACTTCTTCATAAACTTCGGTGGACTTCACAAGCTCAACTCTGACTGTCTCGATCTCCTTCGTCGTCAAGACAAACAACGCCTTGGAAAGTCCAGTACTTTGCCATTGCTGAACACACAAAGCTATGCATAGCTCTTGTGTCAAATAATTTATGGGTGGCTATTTTCACACCAAAACTGATCCCACACGGTTGGTACTACACTAAGCATGCTATTCAAATTTTATACAAAACTCTCTATTAATGAGCATTAAAGTCTATAAGAAATGACATACCCGCGTTCGGTTCCATACCACTATGTTCTCCCGCGACATAGACTCGAGGTCTTCCTGGCTGCCCCGCTAGTGGTGCCGGCAACTGAAGTTGTCCCTGATTCTGTCCTCCCAGTTGCTGCCCTTGAAGCGGAATCATCATTGCTTTGCAAAGTGCCCGATCTGCCCACTACAATGACACGTGCTCCTCAATGGTTAGAATTATCTCAGCGGAAGGCCTGCTGTACAGTCCTTCTTCACATGACCCAGTTGATGGCACCTGTTTCAAATAACACCCCTAGGAGGTGTTCCTTGTGCTAGTGTCGAGTTAGCGGTCTCCCAATTCCTCTTATGACTCTCAGCTCCTTTCCCACTCTTAACTTGAGCATGCTTGGACAATTTGAGTTCTTCCTGCAACCCAATTTTCTGCTCCACAGCAGTTTCCACCAGGTCCACCATGCTGGCATACTTGCTGATTGAACAACGGTTCTTGAGGTTAACTCTTAGTCCCTTCATGAACTTACGAATCAGCTCTGCCTCACCTACGCGTCTGGTTGAAAACCTCCTCAGACGGTTGAACTCCTTCTTATACTTCCAGACAGTTCAATTATCCTGACGAAGTTCGTCAAAAGCACTCTCCATCCTGTCCAAGGCTTCTGGCGTAAAGTACTCCCGAGTGAACTCCTCCTTGAAATCAGCCCAAGTCAACTTATAACACCCTTCCGTTGACTCTACAACACCTTCCCACCAATTCATGGCATCATATACCAGATACTGTACAGCGAGGTCTATGCGGTACTCTTGTGGACACCTGATTGAATCAAAGTTCTTCTCCATCTTCTTCCTTCAATTATCAGCAGCCAAGGCACTCACCTTTCCGTTAAAAGGATTCATTTTCATAACCCTCATCAATGTTAACGTTTCCCAGTACGAAGGTCTTTGAGCTGGCACATACGCAACCAGTGGTGGAGTTGGTGGCGAATAATGTGCTCCCCCGTTCTGGCCATTCAATGCACATTCCCCACTCCCGGGTCATTCCGCATCTGATCCCCAAAACAGTCACGGTACCTCTGCAACTCCCCCATCATGGCTACATGCACGGCAGTTTGGCTAGCTCATTGGGCTGCCCGGCTGGGTACACACCCCGTGGCGCATTCACGGTGTTGTCCCCATGAACACTTTCGCTCAAAACAGCCTGACTTTCTGCCCTATATGCGGGTTGTACCAACCTTGGGGCTTTCGCAACTCGTACTCTCTTTGGCAGTATCCTGAACACAGAAGAAGCAAGCACTCAAAACTCTTCGCAAAGCTGAAACACCTAACACACGAAGAACACAAAGATCAAGTCTAGCTAGGTGATGTTTCCCATTTTTTTTTAAAAAATATTCCTTTTTCCCTCAAAAAAAATCTTTTCTTAAAAATCTGTAAATAAACCTTCTTATAAATCCGAAAATATAAAAATATTTCAAAAATACAAAAAAAATATTTATGAAAAAATGATAACTTGAAAACTCATTTTTATTTTCACAATCCGCCTCCCGGATCAGAACCGGTGCAATCCAAGGCTCTGATACCAATTGTAACACCTGCTTCTTTCAAAACCAAGACAGCATATTAAAGTGCATTAACTTTCACCACAAGAAACCACTTGCTAGTTCAAGGCCACTTTTATTCCCATGGATTGTATCCATAATATCTTACAAGACCATTTTAACTTAAACATCAAATCCAAATTTAAATAATGTCTTTCAAATAAATAACGAATAATAAAATAAAACCCTCGTCCTCCCAGAACCATCACCAAGCCACAAGACTACTTCTGAATGTCTACGCGTTCACCTGCAGAGAAAAGAAAGATGAGTATTCCAACAATACTCAGTGATGGCGGGTCCTAGGGACCCACGATATACATCTCGCACATGCATTACCATTCCAGATAAAAGTCCTAAGCTAATACACACAAGCAATCACATCCGAAAACACTCATAGATCAAGAAATGACATCCTAGACAAAACTGGTGCATCCACGCCTTCACCGGTGCACACCCCGTGTCATACAGCAGTACACATGCTGTCTATCATTAAGACGCAGAGTTCGTCAAGCCGCCAACGATGGAACTATGAAGCGCCACACGCCTCCATATCCAATACCACACATAACATAAGAGATTCCTACATCTTATCCTAACATGCAATTGATTTCCTCACATAATGCAAACACCCGTAAACACTAAATACATACTAGATTCTATAAAACTAATTCGTTCTCACATAAATATTTTAAAGCATCAACCATAATACACTAAAAAGTTAAACTTTAAATTTTAAGAACTAAACTCTGAATCCTAAAACTAAACTCGAACATGAAATCATGAATCTAAATGAAAATGTAAGTTTAGGACCTTAAAACAAAACTCTAAATTCAAAATAGAGTATTTACATATTGTTCAATCTATATATACCAACGCTTCTTCATTCAAAAATATATCTGATATATATTTATTATGTAATTTATTTTTAAAATTAATATTTGTTTAGTAGTTGTGGATAATTTTTTTGCTTTTTTTTAATTAACACTGGTGTATCATCTGGCAACAAGTATCTAATAGCTAATTTTTTATAGTAAAAATTTATCGTATTTTAGCCTATTAACTTCTCCATTAATTATGAATAGCAGCAATTAAAAAAAAATCAACAGCCACAAAAGTTTACTGTTTTGCAGATGAAGAATTATCTTCAATTAATTTTTAATGACCATTTGAAAAACAAACAAATATATTGAGGTCTTAGGTTTTTTTTTGTTTTTTTTGTTTTTTTTTTTGTTCCTTGTGGAGAAAGAGTACTCTCTGGTTTCATGTGATAAAAGCATCATGCAGCCAAATATCAATTCGAGATGCTCTGAATGTGAGAGGCGAGGCTCGTGATGAGTGTGGCCTAGAATCAATATTGTAATTATTTTTCTCGTCTACACTAGATTGAACACGTACTTGATTATATTTCTATAGACCTTTTCAAAAAACTTAATAGGTTTTAAGCAAAAGTTCAAAAAAAAAAAACAAACTTAATAGGTTTTGAACATTATCTACTACAAATTTGATGCATGTCGTTTTAGGTATTTCGTTCCATACATGCACTATGTAATTGTGGACGATCAACTGAATATAAGACAACTCGTATTCCAAGTCATGTTCCCGATAAGGAACACATCACACATATGCTTAATGTTATACTAAATGGAGCTAATTACTCGACTGTTTTAGGATATGATCTCGTGATAGCAAACCAATATCGGTGGACCCACGAGATTCAACTCAGCTAAACATCTCCCACAAGAAAATGCAGACGTCAATATTCTTTACAATGGCTATATAAACCCTAGATCAGCACAAGGTTCCATCCAACACAAACACAAACACACAAAAAAAATAACCATGAAGAAGTTTCACGGAGTCGCCTTGGTTGTTTTTCTATCAGCTTTAGCGACTACTTGCAAAGCAAATAAGGAACTTTCTTGCGAAGAGAAGGAGCCATTCACATGTGGAAACATTGACGTTTTAAGCAGTAAAAATTTCGATAAAGACTTCATTTTCGGTGTTGCATCTGCTGCGTACCAGGCATGTAACAAATCATTACACATTGTGTAGAAAACCATTAGTAAAAAACATAACTCCAACGTTGCATGGTTGTTTCTTTTCATTTTAGGTCGAAGGAGGCAGAGGTCGTGGTCTAAACATCTGGGATGGCTTCACTCACCGATACCCAGGTATGTATGTCGTTTGCATGCTGTTGTATATTTACGTGTATAACTAATAGGTCTATATATATATATATATATATATATATTTCTTCATAGTAATTATGTCTTTGTTTACTATCAGAGAAAGGAGGACCAGATCATGGGAATGGAGACACTACTTGTGAGTCATATACAAGATGGGAGGTTGATTCCTATAAATACATACTAATTGAAATATCTAATCAACTAGGTGTGGATTGATATGAGATTGTTGTATATGTAAACTGCAGAAAGATGTAGAGGCGATAATCGAAATGAATGCTACTGGCTACAGATTCTCCTTTGCGTGGTCAAGAATCATTCCAAGTATGTACACATTATCGATACATACAATACAAGTCTTTGTGTTTTGATTAAGATTTTCAGGGAGATTAAATATATGAATATGTAAACATGAATGAGCAGAAGGAAAAAGGAGTAGGGGAGTGAACAAAGGAGGTCTTGATTACTATCACAAACTCATAGATGCCCTCATTGCAAGGAACATAACGCCTTTCGTTACCCTCTTTCATTGGGACCTTCCTCAAACACTGCAAGATGAGTATGAAGGTTTCTTGAGGCGCGAAGTCATGTATGTTATTTGTGCAGTGCCACCATGCTTCTTATATTATAAAGAAATATGGCAGCATGCGTATAAAGATTTGATCTTGCAATGAATGAAACGATTCTATAACATATGCGCAGAGATGATTTCAAAGATTACGTGGATCTATGTTTCAAGGAATTCGGTGGAAAGGTAAAGAACTGGCTCACTATCAACCAGCTCTACACAGTGCCTACGAGAGGCTATGCAATCGGGACAGATGCACCCGGTCGATGTTCTCAAGCGATTGATAAGAGATGTTACGGCGGAAATTCTTCAACGGAACCCTATATAGTTGCACATAACCAGCTTCTTGCTCATGCCGCGGTGGTTGATCTTTATAGGAAGAAATATAAGGTGAGTTCATGACTTATAAGAAAAAAGTGTAATCTTACATATCTAGCTATTCCTAATTTAATCATATCATTCGTGTGTATATCATGACCAATAGTTCCAAGGAGGGAAGATCGGACCTCTGATGATAACTAGATGGTTTTTTCCATATGATGAGACTGATAAAGCCTGCATAGATGCAACTGTGAGGATAAAAGAATTCTTCTTAGGATGGTACCAACAAATGAAAACGTCTTTTTAAAATTATTATTAATATATGTTGTATATATAAACCCCAACTTAGGTATAACCATGTATAACCATGTACTTTACATGGATCAGGTTTATGGAGCCGCTAACAAAAGGTAGATACCCAGACGTCATGAGGAAAATGGTGGAAAGTCGTCTTCCCAACTTCACAGAAGCAGAAGCCAAACTCGTAAAAGGTTCATATGATTTTCTTGGTCTCAACTATTACGTCACTCAGTATGCACAGCCAGCTGCTAACCCATATCCTTCGCCAAACCACACTGCCATGATGGACCCATGCGTAAAGCTCACGTGTACTACTCTATATAATACCACGTAGTTACAACCTTTCTATTACAAAACATATTGTGTGACTGACCATCAATTATTTCATCATCCTTGTGTCTACAGCTGAAAATTCACACGGTAAAGTTCCTGGTCCTCTGGTATATATATATATATATATCCATGATTCTTCCATTCAATAATAAAAACTTTAAACAAAATAATTCTTCCGGCTTATATATATTTGCCTCTGTTTCTCACTTCTCTGAAGACAAGGTAAGCGGCAACAGCTATTACTACCCAAAGGGAATTTACTACGTAATGAATCACTTCAAAACCAGATACGGTGACCCTTTAATCTATATCACCGAGAACGGTGAGTTCTACTACTCATATCTTTTCATGTTAAGTGTATTTCCAATATATTCAGAGAAATATTGACACAATTATTGTACCAATTGTTCATGTACTGTGACGGTTTGATTAGAAATTAGTAGCCTCAGTTCTGAAATCCGTGAGGAGGCTGTTGCCGATTCCAAGCGGATTGACTATCTTTGTAGTCATCTCTGCTTTCTCAGTAAAGTCATCAAGTGAGTGGATGCTAGCTACTACTACTACACTCTTGTTTTTTTTCTTTTTTCTTTTACATACATACATGCATGTTTGATATCATCATCCTTTTAATTACGATTGTCCATGCAGAGAGAAGAATGTCAACATAAAAGGATATTTTGCATGGGCTCTTGGAGATAATTATGAATTATGTAAAGGCTTTAGCGTCAGATTTGGACTCAGTTAGGTTAATTGGACAGACGTAACTGATAGAAACTAAAAAGATTCTGGCAAATGGTACCAGAAGTTCATTAACGTTACCACCAAGAACCCTACTAAACAAGATTTCCTCCACTCTAGCCTCTCCTCCCAATACAAGAAACTCGCAGATGCATGAACACTTTATGCCCATGATCAAGCTCATGTCATAACTCTTTCTACTTGCTCCATAGATAACATAAGGGAGCTTTGTTTACTGTACTAAATAGAATAATTTCCCCCCCCCCCCCCAAGTCAAGGGATGGGGAAAAAGAAGCAATGAACCAAATTTAACCATAAGAACATCTCTATCAACAGCTTTTCAAACCGTATTTCAGCATAGAGAATTTCCATCCATCTCTAACACAAGTCTTTCAGAAATAAAAAATTAATAATAATGAAAAAGAAAAAGAAAAGTAAAACAATATATTTTCAAACAAAAGACTATGAGAAACATATATAACCATGTGTCACTATTATATATAGGTTGAATTTTATATATAAAATTTCCATCCATCTCTAACACAAGTCTTTCAGAATTAAAAAAAAATAATAATAATAATAAAAAAAGAAAGGTAGAATAATGTCTTTTCAAACAAAAGATTATGAGAAATGTATCTGACCATGTATCATTATATTATAGGTTGAATCTTATATATAAAATTTAATTATATTAAAAAAAATATGAATATGAAATATATTTTAAGATACTTTCTTAATAGAGTTGTTAATACTTTTAAAAGTTCTTCATTTATCATTAATCTTAATGCAAGTAAGTTGACCCACGAGAGGTGATACGATTGACAACAGTGGAAGGAAAAGCCTGAGATGAGATGGAAGACCCAGTTATGGGTCTAAGTGTGTTGGCAGAAACGGTAGATTATACGCGTGTTTTATCATGTCAAACGGATGGCCAGTATGGATGCTTAATCGCCTAGAATTGCTTCTCCTTCATGAACTTCCTTCCTTTGCATAGATCATCCTTTTGCCTATTTCTCTTTTAGCTCCATAAGGACCTGAAAATAATCTCAAAATGCATGCAAAATGCAATCCTAAACTATATGCATGCTACGCATGAGACAGATGGAAAAGAGACGCTTTTGGGACATAGAGAGATGAAATGTGATGCAAAACCATAACAGTGCAGTTGGTCAGTATGGATACTTAATCGCCTAGAACTGGTTCTCTTTCATGAACTTCATTCCTTTGCCTGGATCATTATTTTTTCCATTTCTTCTCTAGCTCCATAAGGACCTGAAAACACTCTCAAAATGCATGCAAAATGCAATCCTAAGCTATACGCATGCTATGCATGAAATGGATGCAAAAGAGACACATTTGGGACTTAAAGAGATGAAATGTGATGCAAAACCTATATTAGATGACTCCTAATATGATGGAATAATGCATGCTATCAACATCCCTACACTTAGATCTTTCCTTGCCCTCAAGCAAACAAAAAAAAAAATGAGAGTGAAGTTTCAAAATGGGAACTCATATCCGAAAATGATGTTATTTTCAATCAAACCAATGTCCATGTTATCAATTCTAAGATGCACTTGATGGAGCTTTACTCTAAGAACTCAGCCACACTCATCACAAAATGAAAATGATTCTCAAGTTATCAATCTACACAAGCTATCAAATCACTTAAAACATTCATTTAGTTTCAAACAAGTGAATCATGCTTATGCAAATGCAAGTGTCATCATTTGGCAACAAGGACAAGGTTATGAGATGAAAATGATCACATTAATTTCGAAGTAGCTTTTTTTAAAGAAGGGTATAAATGTGATTGAGCTATGGTAAAATGCTAAGGGTAGAGAACAACTTATGCATACAAGAGAAGACTTCCATCTATCCAAGCCCCATAAGTGAATCCTAAACTCTAACTTTTTACTCAACACTTCATCCTATGCTACCCTTTTTGAACTTTGAAAACCAAAATAATCCCACTTCTTTTTTTCTCTTAAGCGCTTAGGAGGCATTCTTCTTTTGAACTTTTCTTGGTGGTTGGCGCCTTCTGTTGTTGCTTGGATATTCTCTTCTTTGTTTCTTGTGCTTCTCATCTTTTTGATGCTTAGATTTTACTTTGCATCTTTTCTTCTTTGTATCTGCTTGAGCTGCCATTTGATTTCACCAAAACATTTCTAATATTGTATTGCCTTGCACTCCTTCTTGTCACCTTGCTTTCTCTCCCACTTTTTTCTTCTTGTAAAACCCAAAACCGAAAATCTCAAGCCCATATCTTTAATAACCCAAACATCCTAGCCTATTTAGCTCAAGAGGGTGAACTAGTTAATGAAAGAGATCCCTTGTAGTGCTTAACCCAAAATTTTTTACTTAGCACAATCACAAAGAAGAGGCCTTACAAACGCTCACTAAAATTTTTTTCCTTGAAAAGAGGTTAAGGTTAAATGGGGAAAATCTATTTGAATCCACAAGAGTGATTAAAAGAGAGAAAGAGAATCCAAATATGTATATGGTATCCATGGTGATAATTCAATGCACAAGACAAGATAATTCAAAATTCAAATAATGGTTCTTCTTAGATCAAGATTAAGATCATTTCAAACAAGCTTCAACTTCAAACAAGAGTTTCCAATCACAAATTCAAAGAGTGTTTCAGCCTTATTTCAAGTGCTTCATCAAATGCATCAAACAATTAAGAACAAGGACGTTGGTCTAATCTAAACAACATCATTTCTCATGGATTTATCTATCATTGTTCTCACTTTAAACACAAGCAATTCTAAATGAATTCAATGCAACTATACTCAATCATACATGAATGCAAATGACACTCTGTTTTTGAGATATGAGTTTCGAAAATTTTTAATTTTGTTTTTCTAGATTTTCTATGCCTTAGATGATGAAAATGATGCATGAATTTTCTAATATGAAGCAAGATGATCTATATGATTGAACTAAAAATTATAAAATTTAAACTAAATGCAACAAGTATGCAAAAATATCATTAGTCTCACAAACTCTCTCACACACTTAAATTACACAATGCTTGTGTAATAAAAAATGCAAAAAGAAGCAATATTCAACCAATAACTTTTAAAAAAATGGAATGGTATTTACAATGCTTTTGAGAGAGTGTACCTTAGGCCATGGAAGTATGAGAGGGTGAGCTCTCATTGCTTTGGGAAGGGATCTGCATTGGCAAGTGAGATGCTCCTCTCTTCCTTCCTCTTCTATGGCCATCTATGTGAATAGAGTGCCTTGAAGGCTCTGCGGATGTAGCTGGTGCACTTGCTATTCCATGGAAGGAGTGACGCCCCTCTAATATTTCTCCTTGCCCCATGCTTTGCTGTCCCACTTCTGCTCCCATCCTAGAACCGCTCTTTCTCTTTGGAGAGGATGAATCACCACCAACCTTCTTCTTTAGCTTGTGGAATTTCTTCTTCAAACTCTTAACTGACTTCATAAAGGTTTTAATGGTCTTCTCTTGCATTTTATTCCAGCCTTGTAAGAGTTTGATGTGATTGTGAGCCACTTTTGTTACTTCAGAAGGGCAAGATTTTGAACAGGGATCAAAGTGGTACTTGGCGCTTTCTTCCTCTAAGTCTCCTCCTTCAAGCGCTTCATCACCACTATCTCCTTGGTCTTCAGCTGGTTCAGTGGTGACACTTTTCATTCTGCTTGTTGTTAAAAGAAGCTCATGAACATTTGGATCATACAAATGATGCCTTTCCACTTGAAACCACACATTCTCTTGCAAGCTGAAGCTAGTGAGGTGGCACTTTGGGAGGATGACCACATTCTTCTTGTCCCCAAGCTCAAACTTGTAAGCATAACCTTCTTTTATTACCCCAACCAAGAAATCAGATTTGCTTAGATAAGCAGCATCAAGATAAGCAATGTGGTGTGAGGGTTCCTTAAGAGGCACACCAGCTGCAAGCAAAGGGTTCCTTAAGAGGCACGCCAGCTGCAAGCAAGATGTGAGTGATGATTCCACCAATGGCCAGCTTGGGTTTCTTTGCAGAAGTGTTGATAGCCATTGTTGATGTTGCACCAGCTGCTTCATCAAAAATGTAATGAGCCCAACTCCACTTGTATCTCCTCTTATTGGTCCTTGCCTAGTCTCTCTAAGGATGTATTTCAGCCCAATGACCAATAATCCAAGCCCTTCTTCCTGGACCATGTTGTGCTCTTTTCTGTAGACGAATGTGTTGGCCAAGACTTTGTGGACATATCTAACAGCAGGATGCCTGATGCTCGAGCTTTCGAGGCACCGCTTTATGTAGTATTGGTTGGCGATTTCCTCCCGCATATGCTTAGGCTCATCTTTACAAAAGCTCATCTCCATCTCCCTTGTTGTTCTCTCATTGAACCCAAAGACCTCATTGAACTTGTTGAACCCCATCTTGTACTTCTCCTTTGCCAATCTGAATCTGATGAAGCCATCCCCATAGCCTTCTTCTTCCTCACTATCCCCATCAAAGTCTTCAAAGTAGTGGACTTTGAGGGTAGCAAGAAATTGCGAAGCTTCTTTCTTGTGAGTAGGGTAAGCTGAGCACAAAGAACTTTTCCATCCCAAGGTTCTTGAAAATGAGCTGAACCTCCTATACTATGCCCATATACCTCAGCAGTGAAAGAGATGCAAACCGAGTTGGAACAAAGTTCACCTTGTTGATGGTCTTTAATATCTCCTTAAAGCTAAGAGGAGCAACATTGAGGACATCTTCTTCTTCCTCCTCTTCAACAGAAACTCTCTTGCCTTGTTCCTTGCCTCTTTTTGCTGATTTATAGGTCAGAGCCAAGATTCGTTGATATTCTTGAGACATGGTTCCTAAAAAAGCAAAATTCAAAAAAATTTAAGAATTTTGTAAATTCAACATATATTCAAACAATAATTGCTACAATACTTAATAACTTTTGAAAAATTCTAAAAATTTTCAGCATGCAGAAGGAACAACAAAATTGAATTAAAATAATTTTTCCAGGGCAAGAAAAATTTATCAAGCAATAATTAATAAATCATGAATCTAAACAAGAATTTAGGACAAAATTTGCATAAAAACATCAAAACTCCTAACTTTCCACCATTAAAATGCAGCAAGCAGTTCTTAAACTATTCTAAATGCAATTCATTAAACAACTAAACCATAGACAATGCAAGATGGATATAGAAATACAAGCTTAACTAAAAAAAAAAAAAATTTAAGCCATTGAAGATACCTTGCAAGATGAATGGAGCAGATGTTTATGATGATGCCTTAGAGAGAGAAAAGCTAGATGCCAAAAATAAACTGAGAATTTTAATGGTGGAGAGAGAGATAAATGCAAGATG